ACCACAAGGCATTTTAAGTGTATATATTACCATTATTATCTATTTATTTATTGCTCTATCTTATTATTTCACGGAAGAATGTTTATCAAAATAAGATTACATGATGTGAGAAAGTACTAAAATAGTAGTAATGAGTAGAAGGAGATGACAAAGAAAGGGTTAAAACACAGTGGTGAAATGGAGGAGGGAGGAACAGGTTAAGTCAGGCTTTGGACATGTGACAAAAATACTTCTTATGGTAATACAAGTATAGCAGGGTCTAAATAAATGAATAAATAAATAAATATGATACAATAACCACAAATACAAAATTCAAACACTCTGCTGCATTAACCACATTATATAGTTTATTTCATATTTTGTATGTAACATAAGAATTGAACTTTTTAATAACATCTTTGTATTTGTTATGAGAATATATTAGATGAAATATATATATATATATATATATATATATATATATATATATATATATATATATATATATATATATGTTAATGTGGAAGAATACAATACAACTTTGCTAAAGTAGATGAATTTCCCAGTTCTTTTACTTTAATTCTCCCCCCCCCCCTGCCTGTGGTCATGTACCATACTTACTTTTTCCTTTCTTATATAACACTGGTCTTTCGACGTGTTCTTTAATATATTATCGCTGTTGTTTTTATGTAATAGGGATTTATTAATTCATTCTTTTCTCATGTCATGGTTTATATAAATGAGCACGTGACTACTTACCATATACATTTCATTCATCTATAGATCGTTTTTCTTTATGCCTTAAGCATTTGTTAATGAATTTTCTGTTCATATTCATATTTGTATTTTTTTTTCCTGACATGTTTAGTGAGTTACTGAATGTTAATCATAGTATTAAAAGGTGTTATGCGCATGAACGGACTACTAATATCAAGGAAACTTATCTTATACTTATAACGGCTGCGGACAGATGAGTGAAGCGCCACTGTCCGGTCTTAGATATTATTTTCATACACACGGATATACATCTACCTGTCTATCTATATATATAGTATACACATATGCATACGCGTGTGTGTATACATACACACCACACACACACACACACACACACACACACACACACACACACACAACACACACACACACACACACACACACACACACACACACACACACACATATATATATATATATATATATATATATATATATATATATATGCATATATATATAATATATATATATATATATATATATATATATGCATATATATATATATATATATATATATATATATATATATATATATATATATATATATATATATATATTATATATATATATATATATATATATATATATATATATATATATATATATATATATAATATATATATATATATATGTGTGTGTGTGTGTGTGTGTGTGTGTGTGTGTGTGTGTGTGTGTGTTACACATTATGGTAGGCCACATAAAGAGCCACCGAAAAAATTAAGAATCATACTACCAAAGATGTTACTGCAGGTCAAAACAGAGAAAAAAAATGAAAATTCATCAGCTACTTACGTAGTAAAAACTTCTCAGGTGATCAGAGCCGAGACGTTCCAATATCTGGAAGCAATCTATTCCAAAGCACCAAATGCCATTGAAATGAAGGTCATAGAACTTCTAGAAACTCTTATAGGTTGAATCAGGTAAAACCTACAGAGGGGATGTGAATTATTAGTTACAATCTTGTATAAGACTGAAAGAGCCCCGATATCCCTACAATGGCCTTTGTCCAAGTCTTAGTCATACAGTAGAAATTTAATGGAATTGAAAGAATGATCAGGCAGTCTTAGGTGTGATTTTGAAGCAGACAGCCACGCAGGAAAACGATACTCAAAACGAGGCAGAATGAAAGAAGCATCTACGAGTAATGTTGTCATCTTCATAGATCTTCTTGCACTTGTGGATGTTGCCTAACTTCGATGAATTACCTAGATATTCCTAATTTGCAATTAAGATGGAAACTTTGAATCAATAGTTACACCTAGGTTTAAGATAATCCATTGAAGTGATTAAGACCCTATTGAGCAGACAGATGCTGAGACAGCAGCGTTCTAGACCGACTCACAGTCATTTCCTTGAACTTGGTAGGATTTAATATCATGCCCCACCAAGAGCACCATGATTTGAATTATCATCAGGTCCACAGTGCGACTGTTAACTACTATTTGCCTGGTTACCGGAGAAGGAATAATAACGTATGCCAACATTTTAAGAGTAATGTCGGACGAAGAACACTACCCTGAGACCCCAGAACTAAAACTACCATCAAAATGAACACGCTGCAAACTACCAGTTAACTCTTGTTACTACGAAGGAATTCTCTGCCTCGAGCCCAAGATTTGTGTTTATATTCTAGGGATGGTTTTAATGCTAGTCGTTTTACAAACAATTAATGGTGTCTACCATGCTCTTGATAGCATTGTTTATAATAGTCCTTGTTTTGTTAATGTTCTGAACTTGTTATCGTTGAACATCATAACGAGGTTTGTACCCAGCAAAACTTAAATCTTGTTCACATGATGTCACCAGTCTTATAGGGACAAACATACTGCCTACAAATCGCTGGTCTGCTAACCTCTGCAGTCCTTGGTGGGAGAATTATGTTGCCATATGTAATATAGCAACTAATATTTATATGGAGACTAATTCTGAGTATATTCCACACTTGAAAAGTTCTTTCTGAAGCGTCACAGCCTCATAGATGGTGGTAAATGCTTAATACATATCTGACGTTAAGTACTCCATTCTTCCTTTAATAAAGCCTGATGGTAGTGTCACATATAACTTGCTTGAGAAAGCTACCTTGTTAGCAGAATGTTTTGATTCAAAACAAAGTTTAGATATTGAACTTCTTTCGTGTCATCCATTATCATGCTTTAGTTCATTTGCTTTCAGATCCTCTGAAAACAAATATATGTGGAGTAGACACTAATGGCTTATTCCCAAAAAAAAATAAATGGTCATTTCGATCCTAACTTGTAATCTTAAGCCTTTTCGTTCGTCAAGGGTCATTTTCAAAGGTCCATTTCAATTACACCGATGGTATCAAAATATCTATCTCCATATCTTTCCCTGTCTTTCTTTTTTTCTCCACCTACTTCACCCATCTCTCTTTCTTTCTTTCTTTGTCTATCTATCTATCTCTTTCTTCCCCTTCCAGGTTTTGCTGTCATAATCTTTCTGTACATATGAGGCCGTTTCATTTGGATTCAATTTGGTTTTATGGAGGGACTCGGCTGTAATGATGCATTGTTTATGACCGTGCATGAAATGCAGTCTGCTGTAGATAAAGGTCATGAGTCAAGATTTGTTCCTATGCATTTTAGTGCAGCTTTTGACACTGTTAATCACAAAGGCTTGAATTTTGAGTTGCAGTCTGTTAGTGTTGGTGGCAAACTTTCAAGTATTTTAACTGATTTTTAAAACCTATTGTCTTCTTTAATGTTTTTATTAGAATTTAGTGACTAGTAAGGCGTGTGACATGTTAACAGAAAGAATCTACGAACTATAATAATTAATTTAAATTGGATAATAATGTATATATTTATGTAGTACAACTAATGGGGAAATTTTAGCTGATAAAGAGTTGTGCAATAATGTGGCGCCTCTCGGCAACATGGAGCTGGATGGAGGCCACGGCCTTCTCGGCTGCGGTCAGAGGCCCCTCGACTACCAGGGGGGTTTCAGGGTGCTCTCGGATTTTGGTGGGAGCCTGACCCCGAACTCCTCCTGGATCATGGCGGCGTGGCTTCCGCCCTTTCCAATGGCGTCATCATTATTCAGGACCTCGGGAAAGATATTCACCGGGAGGACCACGCGCTCCAGCTCCTCCAGCTCCTTGATGGCCCCGCGCACACTCACCGACTTGCCTGAGACGGCAATGGGCAATTCCCTGTCTTTGAGAACGCTAACCCGCACTTGGTACGTACTTGAGGCAGGCGCCGCCCTTGCCGATGGCCTTGCCGTAGTGCGCGGGCGCGATGTCGGGAGAGGCCGTCTCAGAGCTGCGGACCTGGTCTTCGAGTTGGCCGAGCGTCTTGAGCATCAGCGCGCGGTCTTTTGCCTCGCCCACGAGTGCACATGCATCTGAAGGCTGCTCCTCCCCAGACGGCATCTGAAGCCAGATGCCGCGGACCTGCTTGGCCTTCATCAGTGGCTGCAGATCCACACCTCGTCAAGGGCAAGCAAGAGGCCGCTCGCGCCTATATTCAGTACATGGAGGACTACGTTCGCGGAAAGAGGCGCCTGCACATGTCGGTACAGATCCCAGTGGACATGCAGCCACTGCTGAAGGCCAAACAGGCTCCCGGCATCTGGCTTAAGATGCCGCTTTCAGATGCATGTGCTCTCGTGGGCGAGGCAAAAGACCGCGCGCTGCTGCTCAACTCAACTCGAAGACCAGATCCGCAGCTTTGTGTGTGTGTGTGTGTGTGTGTGTGTGTGTGTGTGTGTGTGTGTGTGTGTGTGTGTGTGTGTGTGTGTGTGTGTGTGTGTGTGTGTGTGTGTGTGTGTGTGTGTGTGTGTGTGTGTGATAGAAACTGTAACACTAAACCTAAACGGAGATTTAGGACTACTACTAGTGGAAACAATTTACAATACTTATTTTCTTCAGATGATAGATTTTTTTTTTCTTTTATTGAAGAAATAGGGCTTAATATAATATCAGAAGCAACAAAAGAAGCACTTCAAAATACTAGAAAATGTATGAATGAAACATATTTCACAAAGTTGCGGCGAAGTGAAAAAAGTATTTCCTCATTTCGGAAGATTAAGTACCCTTAACTGTTCGTTAAATCAACTATGCTATTTCCACGATGAAGCAGCAAAGAAATGATATGAAGACTGATAATTTTTATCCAAATTTCTTCTTAAATAATACAATTATGAGAAGGAAAAAGAAAAGAGTTAACTTTTGATTGTAGCGGCAAAGTGAAGAATATGTGTTACATGTCCTCAGCGGATGATATTTACCCACGTGAAGAAGTCGATGTAAACATTGGGTGAAGGAAAAACCTTTAAAGAAGTATTTTACTATATTTTTACCGTAATACCATCACTTTTTAAACAGCATCATGAGAGAATTATCAGAGGATATAGAGGTAAGAAGTTTCTGCCGTTTTTTGATTGTATATAAGTGAATTATAGTCGCTTTCAGTAATGAAGATAAAGTAAAATGCGGCGTTGTATTTGAAAGGATGAGCACAAGCCGGTCTGGAAACGTAGAAAACAGCTGAATATCCACCAACATGGAGCTATTCCACTCACCCAGACCTGGTATAAGGATTGCTCTGCCTGTTATGGTACAGGTCCAGTTCCTTACAGCCTTCGTTTGGATGAAAAATAATATATGTAAACGATAGAGCTAGTTATTCTAAGAAACTTATCTTCTATGTGTCATAACCAGGTAAATTTGGAAATGCAACCCCACACCGTTTTTTTTGTGAATAGAATAATTTTCCAATAGCTTTCATCGTGTTTCAAACGAATCTAGCACTCATTTCCTTCGCAAACAAAGCACAACTACGATATCGGTTCCGATAGCCCAGACTAAAAGTATTTTGGAAAATTTACAGTGGATAACAACCAGGAATTGAGTAAAAAAAAAAATATGGAATGGTTACCTTGATGTTAAATACGACACTCTTCATCTATGGCATAAGATGTGCAGATCGAAAATAAAGGAGCTATACAACAGAGAAGAGAGGAGACCGACCCATCTTTTTCAAAGTCCTTTGCCATGTTGACATCATGAACGTAAATAAAGTTATGACTATTCAACTCATTCTTGTGCTCTGGTAAGTAGTTCATGTATTACTACACTGTTGTCAAAACGATATTTGGCTAATTATCAGTGTCTGCTGTTCCACATGTATGCTTTCAAAGGCCTTTGTTTATGTTTTTATACCTCATTTTCGTGTTTCAAGATTTTTTAGACAGTGATTTAAGGAAATCGGTCTGAAGAACCTTCTGCGCACTCGCATGTTTGCATTTCTGCTGCCAGGTTGGCAGGACGTTTCCTGGGCAGTTGGTGACAGGAGACTGGTGAGAAATGTTTTGTTTTCGGTGTTACGTCGATCTAGGTTGTTTTTAAGACTATACAGTGGAAACGATGAAGAAAAAGACCTTAATAATTATCGCAGTTTGATTTCTGAGGCCATCAAGTATCCCAAATCCTGAAAAAAGTGATAAAAACAAAGTGATCCACAATAAACCGAAAGAAGCGAAAGAAAATTGACAGTTCGGTCTTTCGATATATAAAGGTATTTGGTTTATCGTTTACAGTATGGATGTAGCTCTATCTTGCTGTACATACCGAGGTGAAGAGAATGGATCCCGGGGGGTGTTGGAGGGCTTGCTAACATATTTTAAATTCTCACTGTAGACCATTAAAAATAAAGAGTCATCAACTCAATGCCAATCTATATACCTGGCAAAAAAAAAAGTAATTTGCAACATGTTTGAACAAGTAATACTTCAAAGCACCAAGTAAAAATAAACGAATGAACGAACAGGTTGATTATATGAAACTATTGTTTATCTGTGCAAAGCTAAACTGCAGACGGATGATGAAACGTATGCGGAAAGGTCAAAAGAATTATATGTGGGGAAGACGATTTAAAAAAGAACTGTGTGCGGAAAGTTCCCCGAGAATTACATTTGTACGGAAAGAATTTGAACAAATGATTTTTGTGCGGGGAACGCGTTCCCCACACAGACCAAACTCTACAGTCTCTACATATCACCTGATGGGAGTGCTTGAGTGCCTGGTGGAAACTGTTTACATTTGCTCAAAACATTTTATTGCATATTAGTATTTAACACCTTTTCAAATTCCAGAGACAGATAATCACTTTGAAACTCTTATCTATGTACACAATCTGCCAAGGCCAAACAAAGTTGAATTTGCCGACATTAGATATTGGCACTAATTATACACTTTAAAAAGCACCAGCAATTTTACATTTTACTGTAATTAATTAATTTTTACTAATCTTTACTGTCCTTTAGATGAAAACAAAGCAGTCTTACTGTTAAAAGGATTTGAAATAGGAAGAAAAGAAGCTTAAAATTGCTGTATGCTTTTTGGAGTGTATGATTGCTGCCCAAACCTAATGTTGGCAATGTTGATCTTCTTTGGCCATGGAAGATAGTGTACATAGATTTAGTTTGAAAGTGGCTATCTGTCTCTAAAATTTGAACAGGTGTACAATATCAATTTGTAATAAAATATTTTGAGCAGATGTAAACAGTTTCCACCAGGCGCCTAAGTACTCCAATCAGCGTTCACACGTTTCATGGCTTATACCCATCGCTTCCATTTTTCAGGTTTCTTTTTGCAATCTGGGAATATATGAAAGATTAAGTCTTTCTTTCCCATCATGTCCTGCTGATCCTATCAAGTTGTCTGGACAAGCAAGACAAGGAGTTTCAAATGCAGCATTAGTATGCAAGCGAACTGGTATAAACTTGAAATATAAATACATCAAAGGTTAAAAATAAAAGGTAGTGATGATATAAGATGATAGTTTAGTTTTGGTCAGTCACATTATTAAGCTAAAATTTCAGTAGACCAGTATTCCATACTACAGAGTGTATTGAATGGGTACCTGATGACAGCTGAGATAATTTTCGTATATAGTATTTCCTGCTCAAATAGTAGATAAAGACAACATGTAACAGAGAAAGTCAACCAAATGGAATTCATTATAAGTTTATTTTCCCACAGCCATGTAGTACAAAGTAAAAGGTTCCTGTAAGGAGCAGAATGAGCAGAAGAATAAGACTTTTCATTTCCTTTCCTAGATTATAATAAGAAAGTTGTGCAACATGTAAAAGGAAAATGTAATGGTACAATAAAGATCAAAGTGAAAAACTAAACCCGCTAATACATGAATTGATGTGTGTAGGCAGGAAGCAAATGTCGGTATTGGAGAAATTCAGTCTCAATAAATGTTGCATGGAGAGGAAGTCCACGGTGATCGAGTAGGAGACTGGGGGCAGAGCCCTTGATAGGGAAATGTGGCAATCTCGTAGAGTTAGGAAGGTTATTGGTTCATATGGCAATGTTTGGGGATTTCCTAGGAATGGCTGGAATAAGACAATCTGAGATGGGTGTGGTCACAAGCTATATCCCCCGAACTAACATTGTCTTCACCATGCTATATTCAGCAAGACAAAGCTAAATCTTAGGAGCACTGAGTGAGCAACACTTTCTACAGTCTTTTCTTTATTTGTGATGTAACCATTCATGTCTGCAGATTATTTTTTGTATAGGTGACTGCAATATTTTGTCCTCTATAAGACTATAATGTTCATTTAGACCTAGCTTAGTGTGTTCATGGTTTAAAGATTATCCCATGATCTTGACAGGTGCAAATCACAGTTTCTCTTGGGATTTGATGTGATTAGAGTTAATGAAATGTTCTAGGGTGATTTGCATCAAAATAACTCGTCAGATTTTATTCTTTTATTTATAAGAATTATTAAATGGCAAAATAAAAATGGGACTAGCACTACCTAAATCAATGTATCTGGATCCTTCATTACCATCATGTGGCCCAATATATGTGTATTAGGCTTTAGTGAGCAGCCATTCTGACAGGGGTATGGCTTGTAGGCTGAATGAACACTAGTGTTTGTGTACAGTGACAAGATTCCAAGCCTCCTCTTTGCAATATTTTTTTCTTTTTCTCTACTTAAACATTTTTAGCATTTTTGTCATTTAGTAATGCCTATATTTGTTATTAGATTTTCTTTCCCCTGCTGGTAATAAACTGTTTTCGTCACCTTCCAAGAGCTTTATGCAATCTTGGCAAGTAATATCCGTTACCCTGGCCTTCTTCCAAAATTCCTATGATGGCACTTGCCCTTCAAGCTAAATTTTTTCATAACATGATGGTCACGTCATGCGGATCGTAGGGGTTAATTAAGCTGTTAGAATGTATTTTGGTTCACACATTTTTGTAAGAATTAGTTTGGTTTACTTTTTATAATTCACTTCTAAAATACTTTGGCTTATTACAGGTTGGTGAAGACCAGGGATCAGATGGGGAGCCGAGTTCAGAAGACGGTTTCTCAGAAGGGGATGACATAGAGGATGAGAGTGATGGCATGGAAGATGATGATGGTGCTGAAGATGATGATGAGGATGATGACGAAGAAGATGATGATGAAGGGGAAGAAGATGATGGCATGGACGAAACTGAAGATGGCGAGAATGAAGGCGGCAAAAGAAAAATGTTAGAGCAGGTAAGTTCTTCTTTTGCATACATTACATAAGTAATCTCTAAGGTAATAGACCATCATCATTTTTCATGAGGACAACCATTATTTTCCCACTAGGTTTATATTACAGTAATGAGGAGTGTTATTAAGAAAGTCTTCATTTTATTGTTATCAAATAATTTCACTACATATTATAATGATCAGATCATAGGCCTATAGGAGCTAGGCCTACTTTTCAATATGAATACACTTCTAACTGTTGCATTACTATAATGATACTACCAAATGTTTCCGTTAATTTTGCTCATGGCTTCTGAGCGCAAATATTATTACAAGGTTTTTACTTTTCAACAGGGAGGGGGAGTAGCAAAGTCGGCGAAAAAGAATAAAGACGGTGGTAGTCTATACAAGCCTCCAACTGTAGATGAACTAAACACCCTTCGTGAAACTCAGATGCTCTACCATTCCAATCTATTTCGAATGCAGGTATGAAATATTCCCTGATACTTTTCATTTTGACAAGATTAGACAAAAAAAAATTATTAGTAGAAATAGTCTGTTAGACAAGGTGATTTTATGAGTTTGATAATTATATGTCTAATTTATATGCTTGACTTGATAAAGGAAATTCAAAATTGTGATGTTAGATGTTACATTATGAGTTTGATAATCATACTTTGAATTTATATGCCAGGCTTGTTGAAAGAAGTTGAATATAGTGGTGTTAGGTGTTTATATGTCT